ACATTTGTAACCGTAATACCTTAGAGTACTAATAATAAACAGTTAAGGCAAGACTGCCGAATTAAAAAAAAAAAAAATATATATATATATATATTTATATATTTTTTTAAATTACTTTATTGATTAGTTAAACATGAGATATAGGCTTGGATGATTTTGGACAATCTTGGACATTGGACATTTTACAAAGTGTGGATACGTCCCATATACAACACTGCATATACACATGAGTATAAGGAATCAGATTTATTTAGATTATTAAGAATATTCTTTATTAATTCAGGCATATCATCTTCTATAAGTATTTTCGATACCATAAGTGTTAATGAGAATAGAAAAGTAAAGATAATAATTTACACTAAAGATAAGAAAAAAGATGGCTTCACTAATTTACACTATTGTTATTATAAATAAAAAGAATTTTAGAAATGTGAAAATAGTTTTAAATTAAAATCAAAATTTTAAAGCTAATTGTTAATACAAACATCATTACTTGTGCATAAAATTTTCAATTTTAGTTTTATATACATCAAGTAATTTTTGTTAGTATAATCAATTTAAAAACCCACAAATTAAGGAGTTTAATTGGTTAATTGATAAAAACAAATATTTGCTAGTTTCTGTTTATACTGTACTATAATTTCATACATATGTACATATACATATATGACAAATGTCATTGTTAAAATTATTATATTTTCTATAATGGTAAGTATTATACCTTATAATTATTAATCAATTTACTGAACAATTGAAAATTTTAACTTACTAAAAATAAACAAACAAAAAATTATTCTTGTCAATATAGGTTTTTTCAAAATCAGAGTTAATAAATTTAATAGAGATCTCAAGTCTCAGCATCAGCTGTGATAATTAAATTAATTTTCAAAAAACATACTTTTTTGGTATAAGTAATGGTTTTCATTTTTCTAATTATAGCAGGAGTTGAGATAATATTGATATAATATCATGTGTTTATATATAATTTAAATTATGCTAGTATAATAAAGTACACTGACTATATAAAAATTACATTTATATTATATTATGATCAGGAATATACTAGAAGAAATAATTATATAAGCAACAAGATTTTTGAATAAGCAAAGAGTTTTACTAATTTTATTTATTTATGAGTATTAAATATAAGGTATTTGTAAAATATGAGTTGTTAGTTGTATATATTAAATTTATAGTTATGTGTAGAATATATATATAAATTATGAATGTTTTATTTAATGAGTATTATAAAGTATTATTAGTAATTTCGAATGATAATTTTGTGTGTTATATATTATGAAATAATTATTTATAGAGTTTGAGTTAATTTGGTTGAGTTAGAAATGTAGTATTATGATATATTTGTTAAGGTGGTCGACAGTATAGGTACTAAAAATAGAGTTTGATTATAGTGTGTTATTTAGCATAGTAAATTACATAAAATGTATGATTTATATGATACAGGGATATAAGTAGATAGTTATGTGATACTTAAGTTGAAACAGTTATTGAGAAATAAATTAATAGAGGTTGTGTTGGAAGAATTTGAGATTATTAGTTTGTTGGAAAAATTGCATTGTGTAAGTTGGTATATATATATTATAGGTTTTGTTTTTGGGATATTTAAATATAATATTGAAGTTTTTACACAAGTTAGAAATTAGATTTGAGAGTCGTTAGTTATTGGTTGTAATAGCAAGTAATCCTTTTTGGTTTATTTGGTTAAGCCTTGCATATTTAGTTATTACTATAGAGTCAGTTTTTACTAAAAAGAAGTCAAAGGAGATAATGTCTAGTGTTTTCTAGGAGGTAGCTCTACTCATAGTAATGTAGCTTGACTAGGAGCAAATATACTTTTGTCTATACTAATTGTAATATAAGATAATATGAAGTTTTGTATTTTGTATATAGTGAGGACAAAAGTATTTTGTATGGGAAATTAACATTATAAGGCTAGGTAGTTATTAATGGTAAAGTACGATTTTTTTTTTTGTATAGTAAGAGTAGTGATATTTATTATATAATATTCTAGAGGAGTGGGGTCAGACAAATTCTTATGTTACACTTATTTTTTTTTTCTTTTGATAATCTCGCACTAATTTATTAGAATTTTAGCAATTTACAAAATTGAAATTAACTATCTAATTTACAGATTAGGCAAATACCCGGCTGCTATAAAAGTGCCCAAGTATGGTTATTGCACTGATATTGCTAACAAGCTCCACATATAGTAATACCTATATTTAAAAACCTGCTATAGCTTGGTACTTAGCTACCTACGTTCGAACCGATTACATTTTACCTTCCTTTTAAACTTATTCCACCAATGTTTGGGCAGAATATATTTTCTTCTACTTCTGCATAGCGCAAACATATATGTCAATTTATAAAAGAAAGACTTCTTTTAAGAGCTAATTCCTTCTTTCGAGTTATTTCACCTTAAATTTTGGTAATATCTTCCTGAACTTAATCTACTTAAATCCCAGCAGATTATATATATTACCTTCTACTTCTACATAAAACCAACATATATACCAACATTATGAAGGAAGGTACATTTAAAGAGACTCTCTAAAAGCTCCCTTATAACTGAAAAAAAATAGAAATTGTTCTAAAAAAAAAAACAAAAACAAAAGAGAATGAAACAAATAAAAAAAAAGGAAAGGAGAATCTAAACCGATTCTAATATAAATGAAAATAGATGAAACAAGCAGAAAAAAGAAAAAATTAAGCAATCTGAATACACTATTATAACCTGTGCCAGATGATTTAAAAATTATATACTATATGCAACCTCTGTATATCTTTGTTGTAAGTCTAAACTTAATCTTAAAATTCTCTCTGACCTATTTCTGAATCTTTTTAACAACCTAGTCTGTATCTCAAACCAAGTGCTGCTACTATACTAGAATCTAACTCTTCATATATAGCGCCAACGATGACAAAGATTGCGACATTTCCATAAAGGCGCCGTTACTTGGGTACTCATATTTCAAGCCACTTGGTGCCGCCACCAGGAATTTCTTTTTTAACTGGGACTTGTTCCAGAGCCCGTACAATATATTCGTCTCCAAACACGTAGTTGCTATCTACTAGTTTATCCGGATTTGATAAGTAAACAATGCTGATCTTTTGGAGGAGTAAACCAAATTCTCACTTTTTATAAAAAAAAATTTTGAAGACTGATAGAAAAACGACAAAAGGTAAAGAGGAACCACTTGAGCTTCAAACCAATTTAAAAGAGTGTGAGTTTTCTTTTCTATAGTCAAAACCTACCGCCTAACACCTGCTTAACATTTTTTTGGTGAGTGATAAACTCTAAGCTTGTTGGCAGGTAGCATATGAGAACTACCTCTAAACGACAAGTGCTGAGACTTTGCAGTGAGTGATAAACTCTGAGCCTGTCGGCAAGTAGCATATAAGAAATACTTTTAAATAACAGATGCTGACTTATTGTCTAGTATGTCAAGTGCCGGCTTGTAAGGTCTCTTTTTGCAGTAAAATGTTTTTCGAAAAATATGATTCAAGTGATCATCGGAAAGAGTTTCACTAATTATTACTTACATTACACTTATATATTATATATAATATATATATATATATATATTTTTTTTTTTGGTATTAAAGTGACCTCTTTGGTCTGAGGAACTTTTTATTAGAGTATAGACGAAGTTTTATATGTAATTACAACGATAGTACATCAAGCCACACATGCACCTTTTGAGTGCCTATTTAAGTAGTTCGCCCGAAGGTTCTACACTATCTGCCGTACCTGCACAGGTTTCGAGAAATTGTAAGAATATGAGGATTATCTAATATATTATAAAAATATGAAGATTGTCTAATATATTATTTTTAATGCACCTCTCACGTCTTCTTCATTTGATATATCGTATTTTGCCTTTAATAACTTATAATAATGATTGCGGCAATTATAACGATTACGATGACTATTGCGAATGTTCAGGAAGGTTATTGTTGTATTTCCTTTGAGGCATTTCAATTTCAAACGAATTTCATCGGTGTTCTAGTTTTCAACTGGGAACTTTTCTTCTTTGCGTGCGTTACCAGAAGTTATTCTCAATGATTATCCTGGCACGTAGTTGTCGTCCTTGAGTATAACTCGAACAGCGATCTTGCAATTGAGGCCTGGGAGTATAACCACCACTCGAATTATCAATATCATCAATGTTGTTGCTACGTCAGTTATTAATTGAGTTTGATTTCACTTATAGATAAACATAAGTGCAACGTGTGGCTTTAGTTGAAAAGAGAAAAACAGTATATATAGCTTTTATTTGCAGATATTCATACAAACAATACATTTTATTTACATGTATTATTCGATTTCTCTCATTTGGAGTTTAAATATCACGTAATATAGGTCTAATATCTCTATAAAATCTAAATAAAAAAAATATAACCAACATCAATACTGACAATATACAAAACTTTTAGATTAATAAGGAAAAATAAAAAAAAAATACCATACATTTAAAAAGGGACAACTACGTATTATACACTATCTTCTAGTCTTTGAGAAATAGAGCTGATTTATAAAAGCTGTCTTCAAAATATACACCATCTTCCAGTCTTTTATAAATAATGCAGATCCATAAAGACTGTCTTCAAAATATACACTATTTTCTAGTCTTCAAAGAACAGTGTAGTGTCATCATGACTGTCTTCAAAAAATCAAATGTAAACAAATATATATATCTAAAACAATCAATAAAATTGATATCTGATATAATCATCATATATTTACATAATTACATGATATTATTTATCATAAAGTCCCTTCGCTTCAGACAATGATAGCAAAAATGAATACAAATGATTTGTAAAGATTCTAACATATAAAGTATTTTATTGAGAGAAAAAATTTGCAGTTTTGTTGAATCTTACCAGTGGTCTTAAACAACACAATTGCTATACGAATGGATAAATAATTAACACTTAATGTTCTAAGCAAAAATTATTATAAAAAATACTAGTTGTAAACCAGGACCCCAAAGAACTCTGATACAACCTATATCTAAGTTTGTATAAAGTTCATGTAAATTTGGCCAAATAGATGTATAAAATACAAAATTTCCTTTTTTGGTAACATATGAGTTACATCAGAGTTCTTCGGGGTCCTTGTAAACCTGTGCAATAATGTACAGAAATAAACTTATAAAATTTTTAAATATAATTTTAAAATAAAATAAATATATAGCAAAACTTTTATAATTATTA